CAGCCCAGGGAGACCCAAGCAAACCCGCGGAGGCGCAGAGGTCCCGCCGCCTCTGCGGCTTTGCTCCTGTCTCCCTGCTGTGCTGGGGGGGGAGTCCCCCCCAGCACACCAGGGAGACCCGGAGCAGCTTTTCTCGCCCCAGAGGATGCGGTGGCGGGACCGCTGCGCTCTGTGCGGTCCCACCACCTGCGAGCTCCGGGGCGAAAAAAGCCCCGTTTATAAGTCGGATCCGCGTAAGTCGGGGACTGCCTGTACTGTTCATAATAGTCTTCTAGTTGCATCAATGTGGGAAAATGCAGCAGATGTTTACTTTAACAATTTTCATTTAACATTTTAGCAACTCATACATTTCAGTAGTTACACATTGTGCTGACTTTTCCTTGTGTTGCTATACGGAATGCAGTCTCGAGATGTCTCCAAGCCCTGATTCTGGATATGTATCTGCTCATCTATGAAGAATTTTCCACCTACTTGAGTGAGCATGGGGACCAATACAAACAATCAGAATGAAAGCTTTCATTTAAAAAAACATTGAGTCATTATGGCCATTGAACATTCTCAAAATGTTAGCTGACGGGGTCTTCCTAATTTTATGGACACATCCCGTGTTAGCTTCTGGTGATAATTATAACTACAAAAGGTCCATTTTGCTCTTCAACACAATGTTAGCAGATATAAAATGGACAAGAATCCAGTTACTTTAGTTCTGCTGAAACCTGGAGAAGCAACAAGCAGAGGCAAACACAAGAGCAAATATTAATTAGGGATTAGAGGCAGTCAGACTGAGCAAGGTGCAGAGTAGAGCTCCTTGAAAAAGTGAAACATTTCAAATTTTGTAACTTAATGGTTTAAGTTATTTAACCTGTTTTGGATTTTTTTAAACAAAAATGTAAATAAAAATTTAGACAATTGTGACTAGTTCTAGTGTGGAACAAAATATCACACTGCTATTCTATGGGGAGAAAGATCCCAAGTAGTAACAACAACTAGCGGTCAAAGGGATGGTTACCTGGTATATAGCTTCTTCTTGGTGTTTTGTATTTTTAAATGTGTACTTAGTAAATGTGGTATCTGTAATATTTTAAGTCCGGGCTGAGAAAACTTAGGCCTGAGAGCCAGAGCCCACCCCCGAGGCTCAGG